ATGGACGGCGCTCCTTTGCTGCGGGCGCCGCTGTGGCCTGTGTGCCGTCCAGATTCCTGCCCACATTGTTTGACCCCGCAAGCCTTTGCGTATTTCCAGCGGTTGCATGCCTTTTTCCTCGAAGTGATTCTACAAAAGGGTCCCAAACCAACTGCTCTTTCAGAGGAGCCATTGGTGTTAGAGTTTAGGTCGCCAACAGCTCTTCCGTACCATGTGGCCGTTGCTTACTCTACAAGGAAAAAACCTATCCAGGCAGCGCTCTTAGAGTTGAAAGAGCTAGATGATGATTCTGCCCCCCCAGACATCTGCCAAGTGTTGGCTTGCGAGAAGAGCCTTGATGGACATCTAACCCTGAAGAGCGATGTCCAGGTGTGCGTTCACTGCGCCACCAAAGCAGAGGACTGGCGCATTTCAGTGCTTGGCGTTGGCCCTGTCAAGCGACTGAGCCATTTTGACATTTATGGAAGGAGGCGGTCGAGCGCAAGTCGCTTGAAAGGACAATGGATGAGGAGAAAAAGCTAAAGCTGGCCATGTCCGCCTTGAAAGCTTTGAACAAAAAGCCACTTCCGAAAAAAAGGGCAGCGCGCTCCAGCCTGGCCAGCAGTTTCGCTAAGATGGCCAGACGAGACATGTCCCCTAGCCCAAGTCACGGTGGGTCTTCTCAGTCTGACTCAGATACTGACAATGAGCTTGAGGCTGGGCCAGAGGCGAAACCTTCTGAGCCAGGGCTCGGGCCACCGGCCAGGTCGACTGAAGTAGAGAGAGAGACTGGCTCAGCCATGCCTTCTGAGCCAGCACTTGGGCCACTGGCCGCGCCAAGGCCCAAAGTCAGGCATAATGTTCGACGTGCTAGTGTTTGGGGCACTAACCCATCCTTTCAAATCGCACCAATCCACGCAGCTGCGAGCAAAGAGCCCACAGGATGGGGTGCTATTTGTGGGCGCCACACAGACACCAACCGCCCTGGCCTACAGTGCAAAAAGGCTATGTCAAAGTCTGGCCTGTCAGACGCTGAGTGTCAACTCAGACTGAAAAGGTGGTTGGTAAGTGGTCTTGATGCGACGTCTTGGGGGAGCAACAAGCGCGATTGCCACGTTAGCATGGGTGGGATCCAGCTGGCCCAATTTGCAGATGGCCTGGATTCAGAAGCCTTGGACGCCCTTGTGGGCCATGTAGCTTGATTGGGCGAGTGGTTTCAAAAAGCGGGGGCCACCTGTCAGTGTCAGCGGTTGGCTTCCAAAAGTCAAAAGCCAAACGTCACAAAGATTTGTTAGAATGTTTGGAACATTTCGAACAATTTCATATCAATTTTAGAAACAATGTAACAATTTTAGATCCGTACACAACTCATGGTTTTCCGTACACAACTCATTGTTTTCCGTACACAACTCATGGTTTTCCGTACACATCACATTCTTACATTGTTTTCGCAATTGTTTGCGATATTGTTTGAATGTTTTAGACATATTTTCTGCAATTTGTGCAATCGCTCTCACTCAAGTGGCCACCAGCCTTTTGACAAGCCTTGGCCCTTGGCCAGCCATGGCGAGCACTTCAGAGAGTTCTGAAAGTGCCGAGAGTGAACAGCCAGCTGCTGAAGACGCCTGTGTAGACAGTCCTCGGCCACAGGCCGGGTTGCCAAGGCCACAGGCCAGGAGTGGGCGAGCCTCAACAGCAGCTTCCTTGGCAGGTGGCCTGGCCCGCATTAGCTTGACCTTGCGGAAGCCGCGTTGCTGCCAGTTGTGCAATGGCCGCTCCACTGACGAGTCCCCCTTAGAGTACCTCACTGATGAGATCTTCCCTGAGGTGGAAGGACGCCTGCCTTGGCGCAGCTACGAGAAAGCGAAAGAGGAAGACTCTGGGGAGACTGTCCGCGTTCCAAGTGGCAGGCTGTGCCTGATATGTTTTAACGTATATCGGGCCCTGGGTATCCTGGCTAAGGTTGCTTAAAGCCCCCACCGTTTTTTAAAGCAACCTGTGCCTTTGCCCAAGGCATTTGAGTAGGCCCCCCAGTCCTAAGGCAAGCAGACCAAAAAGGCAGCAGGCCCCCAGTATCCCCCAGTCCTAAGGCCTTCACAAGGAGCATAAGAGCGTGGATGACTACTACAAGCACGTGTCGAAGAAGGCAAACCAGAATGATCATAGAGGGTTTCTAGCCTCCCGCAAAGCCTGGGTCCGACAGCACAATGAAGGCGGGCCCACTCGCAAACGCCTTCAGAGCAAGAAGGAGCTCCAGGAAGCCTTGAAGCAAATGCAGATGACCAGAAGCACAGGTGGCAAATTTATCGCCCCCAAGAAACAGTTTGTTACTCAGGAGGCATGGGACTCCCAACAGTATGGGGACTACGACTCCACCAAGGAAGTGATAGAGCACCTCTGGGGTAGAGATGTGAAAGGAATTTGGATTCATGCTGGCAAGAAGGGTGTGTATGACTACGAAGAGTACCAGGACTCAGCCCTGCAGGAGTCTGAGTTGGTTCACGACAGTCGCACAGGCTTAGACGAAGGCCTTGCTAGGAAGAGGAAAGCAGCATTGGAGCAGATCAATCAAGGGTCCCTGCAGCGAGACAAAATGGCAGTGGAAAGCAAAGGCTCTGAGCTCAGTCTGGAAGGAGTCCTCGACGCCTTGCGCCAGGGAGGCTACCAGCCGAGTTCGCCCAAATCAAACCTTGCGGCCGCTCACCAGGCAGCAGTCGAAGACAGTCAGGATGACTCAAGCTCAGAAGGCACTAAAAGCAGCAGTGGATCAGAAAAAATGGATTGTCTGCTTCCTTTTTTGGCCCCAGCAAACCAAAACAACATCAGGCTCCAGCAAACCTTGACGCAAAGAAGAAGCCTGGTAGACGCGGCGAGCAGCAAGCCAGCAATCCAGCCACAGCCAGCAGCAAGCCCTCAACCAGCAGGCCTTCAACTGCGGCCACAGGCCAGGATCGCAACAGCCTGGCCCAAGAGGTCGTGATGCCAAAAGGGGAGGCGTCGTCATCATCAACAGGCTTTGGGAAGCAGGGCAGCCAGGACAGTGGAAACACACTGCTTGCAGATGGGCGAGCCCAAAGGGCCTTGCGCAACCTGCAGGACAAAGTTGTTGAACTGAAGTCCAAGTTGGCAAAGGTGAAGGTCGATGACGCAGTGCCAGAGCCTGACGCCCACTCCCAAGCTACCTTCAAGCAGAGCTGTGCCGATCGAATTGCTGAAGTCAAGCCCATTGGCAGACAGGCCAGGGAACACAGCAAGCGAATGGACAAAAGCTCCAACAGGGACTTGTTCGACAATGAACTCAAAGACCTCGACTCCCTAGAGGCAGCAGCCTTGGCTTTCCAGAACCTGTTCACAGCAGTATCAAGCCCAACTTCTTCTCCAGAGTCTGTGGTCACGTCTGTTGAGGAGAGCAGCAAGCACCTGGAACTGTTGGGCGTTGAATCTTTGGGAACCTGCTATACTTTGAGGCTAGCTTTGGCCAAAGCTGCTCAGAATTGCCTCTACAGTGAGTATGACAAGTTTTATGAGCAGTCCTGCTGAGCAAACCTTCCATGAAGAGCTTGCAAGCTGCCATAGGGTCAGAGCAACTTGGTGAGTTTGTCTTGGCAGAGATTGAAAGCCGTATTCTCCTGAACCTGAGAGCTGTCAAGGCTTTGGACGTGGAGGCTTTGTCAGCTGGCAAAGAGAATGTAGCCCCAAACAGCTGGCGCCGACCATGCTGCCAGGGCAGCAGCTGTGGATGGAGTCGCGCCAGCGGCTCATGGTAGGTGAGGAAGCTCTGATGTTTCAAGGCTTTCCCATTTTGCTCCTCCAAGACCTTCAAGATAAATGCAGCCTGCCTGCTGCTTGCTCTTCTCATTCTTTCCTCCAAGACCTTGCCGGCAACGCCATGGCGCTCCCAGTGGCTATGGCCATGTTCCAAGCTGGGGTCGCGTCCCTCCCATGGATTCCTCGACGAGACGATGCAAGTGATCCCGGCTCAGAAGATGTGGCAACTGCCTTGGCTGCAGTGGCTTTGTTGAAGCAACGGCAGCCAAGGCCACTGGCCAGGTAGTGGAGATTCCATGGCTGCACTGGCTTTGTTGAAGAAACGGCAGCCAAGGCCACTGGCCAGGTAGGGAGATGGGCTAAGGCTAAGGTTTTGCTTGATGACTTGCTGGCCGCCAGTTTGAATGAAAAAGTGCGTTCGCTGATTGGCGCCGTTCGCTGATTCGGTCATGTTTGCAAAGCATGCTTTCTCCACATGTTCAAACAATAACGACAAGTATTTCAAACTTACAAACCGCTATATATCCAAATGATCCAACTGATTTCACAATTTAAGAGGCAATTTGACGATCTTTCCAATGCTACAAACGATGCTTGAAACAATCAAACAATTTTAGAAACAGTTTGTGAAACACTTAAGCAAGTTTAGAAACAATTTTAGAAACAATTAAATAACTTTAGAACAATTTTAGAAACAATTAAACAATTTTAGAAACAATTTTAGAAAGAATTAAACAATGTTCGAACAATGTTACAAACAATTAAAATAACTTTAGAAACAATTTTAGAAACAATTAAACAATTTTAGAACAATTTTACAAACAATTAAAACAATTTTAGAACAATTTTACAAACAATTAAAACAATTTTAGAAACAATTTTAGAAACAATTAAACAATTTTGGAAACAACCTAAGAATGTTAGAGGTGTGCAGGGGATGCCTGGAACCTCAGAGCCTTTAAAAACATCTAACCCATACCCTTGCCTTCCGTTCAACCATTGAGAGAGTTCGGTTGACTCATGCATACTCATGCTATATTGCTCCTGGGTAATTCACTAAGTTTGCTCGTTGAGCGCGGCAAGATTCATCAAAGATTTAGCAGCCGTTTGGGCAATGATTACATATTCTCTAGATACCTTGATCTAGATCTGCAAAATGCTTGCATCTTCACCCATCATGTTGCCGCCCCCAAAAAAACAGTCTTAAGATTAGATCGGCATCAATGGCTCCAACTGCTCCAACTGTCCATCAGTGTCCCTGGCCAGCCGATGAAGTAGTGCGCCAAACAAATTGACAGGCCTGGTGGTGAGCCCCTTACTCGTGGAAGGCGGTGAGCATGTGAAGGTGCACTGGTCGCCGAGCGGCAAGGAGGCGAGTTTCGTTTCCCGGTTGGAGCGGTGAAGGTGTTCACCACATGAGATCGACATGGACAAACTAGAAGCAGATCATTGAACAACTCGGTGTTCATCACCTAGATTTGGCCTCCTTTTTTGCAAGTATCCTCGGTATCCACCTTGGTATCCACAGTATCCTGGGGTGGCATGCCAGAGCTGAGTGCAGAAGGGGAAGACATCCCAGGTTACAGGTTCAGTGTTGGGACTTCTGGTGGTATTTGCAGTAAGGTGCCGCATGCAGAGGGTGCGCCGATGGAGAAGAGACCGACTATCTTCACTGGGCCGATTTTGGTTGTATGGATTTGGTTGTTTTTTGAGCGTCGTTTAGTTTGGTTGCTTGCAGGTATGGGGTTTAGTTTACAGTAGTCCAAAGGGGATGCCATAGCGGGCGTCAACAGCAATGCGGATCAATGCGGCTACTGGCCTCAAGTCTAAGTGACCAACAAGGATCAACATTCCTTTCCTTCAAACGCCCATCACAAAGAGACGGAAGGGATGACAGCTAAAACCATGTAGCAGCAAGACAGCTCCCGGCTCCAGGCACGGACGGAATACGAAGTGAAGGATCCTTGGTCTGGTCAGCACCCGAGGACTTGGAATCACAACTCTTCCAGCTGCTGATGTCATGAGTCACCTCCCCATCATTGGTCTCTCTTTCAGATGCTGATAGATACTGCCGTGGGTCTGTCGAACTGTCTGAGCAGACTCTTCCCAGCCGCGACTCTTCCGAAGCTCAGGACTTGCTTCCAGTGCCTGAAGACCTGCTTGGAGACCAGGTCGTCCCTTCCGACCCCAAACATCCTCTGTCGCTGCTGCTGGTGAAGCCCCTCACAGGCGGCATTCGGCGGCGGGTTCTGCGCGACCGGCATTCGGACAATTGGGAGGGTTTAAGATGTTGGACTTGGAAGTAAACATGACAACTGGGTTGGAAGATGATGAAGATGTTGCAAGTTTCGACTATATCTGGGTGGCTGCAGGTGCTCAGATCATTCTCACAGGCCATGGAAGATTTTGCGGATGTCGCAACTAGGGTGTGGTGTGAGTGTGTGTAGGGTAGGGACACCTTAACTGACACCAAAGCCAGTTTCATGAAGGTTCAACTGAAAGCATTCGCTGTCATGCACTTGCTGAGCTCACGCGACATGTCTCCATGAACAGCTCGGACGTGCGAAGCGCGTTTCACTTGTGGGGGTGATGCTGAACTGCTGAACCAAGGTTTCCTTGCAACGGGAAGGTGCAGACATTTAGTTAATGCTTGGGCTTTGTCACTGTGAAACGTAGTGCAATTAAGGTCACACTTTGACAAATTCATTGAATTTGTCAGGAGTTGGTTGCTGTGGCGCACGGATCTTTGAGCCACATTCGCTTCGTGTGAAAGAACCGGTATTTTTCCAACTCAGTGCCTTCCATATTCTATATAGCTCTACAGAGGCTAAAGCACCATGCTTGTCCATCCACCGGACAGGCCGAACCCATCAGATTCGAGCACATTTGGCTGGCTTGGGCCGTCCTGTCGTGGGAGATGAGCTGTATGCAGCTTGAGCTTAACTGGTTCCGGCGTTGGTTCAAACTATAACCATATGAATTTGAGCTGTGTGCAGCTTGAGCTTGATCATGATCGCTGGTTCCGGCGTTCTTCGGAACCGGTGAGTCAGCGAGTGGAACCGCTTTGCGGTTTGACCACCCGGTGAGTCGGTCGGAAGACGAGGCCTGGAACGGGCGGGAAACAGCTCTAATTCATCCAACGAGTCAATGCCCATTGGTTCGGAGTTGCCTCATAAATGGTGTAAATGATGGTAAATTACAGTGGGTTGAGAGTAGATGGCACAAGCCCCAAGGTCGGTGGTTTAGTAGTGGACCCCTATATTTTCCAGACATCTTGGGGTGCACCATCTACTCTCAACCCTAACTCTTCTTCGTCTCATGGGTCTGGGCTGTTGGATGTGAGACGTGGGATCTTCTGGAGACGTGGTCAGTTGGGGGGAGCGAGCTGGACAGCAAGGCACCTGGTCAAGGTTTGTATATAAGAAGTGCAGAAGTGGCACATGGACTTCTCAACTTCCTTGAAGAACCAGTGACCTCCCCAAGCCGCGGCAAAGTCCCAGTTCCTTGTTGGAAAATGCTGTAGGCTATAGGTGAAGATTACTCCACCCCAAATAACTCGAGATGGGGTGCGGTGCTGGTGAGTCCAACTGTCAGCCTGGGAGTGATTCCAACGGCCTCGTCTCTGGGGCCTGTCGGAAGTGGACCTCATATGGAGGTAGAAAACAAAGCGACGCATTAGCCTCACAGACCATGCGCACACCGGAGTTGGATTAAAATGATTGAACAATTCCCTCAGAACAGATGCAGTGGCCAAATTGGTTCCATGACTCATGCACATTGGTATGAAGAGAATGAGCACCCGACACGTGGAGATGGACTAAACCTTGGGATGCATCAAATTTACACATCATTCTTTCAAAAGGAGTTGTCATGTGGTGGAAGTGCGAGGTTTCGTGACCACTTCGTGCGGCCACACTTGTCGCGGCGACGTTTCCGTTAACCCCTGTGGCGGCCGAATCCGGATCACCTTGGCCCTGAGGGTGGCCTCCTGCCGAAATGGTGCCCTCGTGGCCCGGCGATGGAGGGAGGTCTGAAGAATACGGGGGGAGTGAAGCACCCTCTGATGATACACGGGCTCCCAGAATGGCGCCCATGAACACTGCAACAAGCGGCCCAGAATGCGTTGAATGTTGGTTCAGGGACGTTTAGGGTAAATTGGATGGATGACCTGGTTCTAGAGTTTCTCCTTCTTTTTGAATTATGCTTATGCTTCATGGGAAGCCAATATTATAGACTTATTTATATATCCCGGTTGGAGGATTGGAGTGCCATTTTGGTTGGTGATGTTCGAGATGACTGCTTTTAATCGTACAGCATCAAACTAGGCGCCTCCACTCTCAAGAAGGTCACTCTTTGCAGTTTTCATTCGCTCCAAAATTGATTACACCCCGCATCCCCGCAGACTAAACATTGACCCTGAAAACTTTCAACCGTTGTTACATTGTTCAGACCATTTGTCCTCTTAACCACCTTAACCACCTTTAACATGCTTGTGGGGGTCCATTCTGTTCATCAGCCCAAAGAGACCGATCGCGGCCAGTCGACCGGCGGTCGGTCGACCGGCCGAGGCTTGTTCCTCCATTGCTATCGCCTCTCGCTGCGGGACCTCAACGGCGATGTCTTCCAGCCGAAGGCGTCGCCTGGCGAAGTCCCGAAGGGTGAAGGGTGAGGGTCGATGTCCACGGTGGGGACGGGGTGGAAGACGGGAACGACGAGTTGGATGCGGTTCAGATGACCTGATGAAGCACGCCCATGCAATAAATATAATATCCCATGTATTCTTAATTAGACATAGAACCTCCATATTATCGCAAGAAAAGTAACAACAGTTTCTTGATGAACAAATGTAACAATAAAAAAACACGAACAAAGCAGTCATAGTGAAAATTGGAAGACCGAGAAAGACATGTTGAAGTCAACCACTGCCATGTTTCCATCCCAGGCTTTTTGCAAATGTTTCTAGACTCTGGTGAGGCGAGCATTGAAACCCAAACCATAGGACTGCGGGGTCCTTGGTGTGCACAGTCTACTTGAGACTCCAATGAAGTCTTCATGAACTTCACAGTTGAAGGTAGCAGGGTTGAGGAATCCTCCGATCTCCCTGGCTTACAGTTTCGAAGATGATCTGACAGCCAGGCTATGAAACGTGGTTCACTCATTGATGGTCCAATTTCCTCACATTTGGTTGCCGTGTTTTTTTTTCTTCTAATGTTGCCATTCCACACATGTGTCGATTCAAGTCTTCAAATGTTTTGAGCAACTGAATCAGCCTGACTTGCGACGCCTCAAGTAGAACATGCTCTCTTGCAAGTGGGCATCGGGCCAGGCATTTTCACCAGTCTTCCAAGCATTATGAGCCCCAAGCGGCTATATGAGTATACTCATGACATGATGCGCTTCGAAAGTACTGTATGGAGGGACACCCCAAGCACTCAAAATTCCAAAGAAAGTATATAACCGGCACCCCCAATAAGCACAAACTTATGAAAAAAAACATGTGCTTTCACTTGTTTGTGGTGCTTTCGAAGGGCTGGGAGTGTATTGTGTTATTGTGTGTTGATGCATTCATATACATATAGATATGGTTATAATTTATATTTATAAATCTAATGATTGAAAAGGTCAGGTTGGGGTATGTTGGGGTGATTGCTGCGTGGCCGCCCAAGGTCCTTACCCCAGGAGCTGAACCGAACCTTGGAAGTGCTGCGAGGAATCAAAAAGTAACACGCTTCTGGTGTTTGGTGTGGCGAGGATGGTTATGTTTCGAAGACATTGGACCATGCTAGTGGAATGGTAGATGAAGGGCAGGGGTATATTGCTATCGGTTGATTTCATAAAGCCCACCATAGATAGATGTAACACACAACAAAACCATTCAGGGGGGGGCTCATTAATCAACAGTCGATGAATTGAGACCGGAGTGTTTCTTCTATGCGGCGGGTACCAGCACAAGCGCAAAAGAGAACAGAACCATACAGAACCTTCGAACCAGCGGCCCCAACATCAATAGATCTCAGCATATGTTTTAGGTTTATTTTTTGGATTTTGGAGGGGGCACAAGGTTTTTTTGATCTTATTCTGTTCAGTTGTGAGTTGGACACCTACCTTCCAGTTTGGTCAGGACAACAGGGTCAGCCCATCAAGCAAACTAGAAAGCCTCAACTATAGAGTTGGGCCAGTTGGGTGTTTCCAGTTCCTACAGTAAGTTAGTGCTTTGGCTTCCCATTGTGTTTTTCCCGAGTTTTTGTTTGTTGCTGATGCACTTGGTTTTCTCTTCATGGTTTGGTGTGTACGCATCCCTTCACTGCATTTCCCGATTTGGCTGCAGTGTAACGATCAGGGGATGCAATCACAGCTCACAATGTTCACATCCCGAACCACATGCGTTCCTTGCAGTGGAAGAACCTATGTGAGCCTTCCCGGCCACCGGAGCCGCCGACGCAGTCAGCAGGTGTGGCCCTGAACCGTCCACCGCCCACCGCCCGCTTCGGCTCAGGTGGGCTTGGGCAACAACCTCCCTGAGTTCAGCCATACCTTCCTGGGGCGTGTCACTGCCAGCATCCCGCTCGGGACCCCGGCTGCGCTGTCTCCTTCAGATCTGGGAGAGAGGAGATCGGAGATCCTTGGGGTGGGGAGAGGTGACTTGATCCCGTGTTGATGGCCAGGTGAGGCTTGGCATGGGCTTGGTCTGACACACCGGAGATCTATTTTAAATATGTTAATCATTTTTAATCAATGGATTTTGCATGAAGCGGCCCGGCCAGATACTCGAAGCACTGGGACAAGCACGATCAGTTGTGATTAGTAAGAGTCAGCAGGGTCAGAAGGACACTTATCATTCTTTCTCCCTCTAAGGCACTGGGATTCGTCACCTGGCCTCTGATCCTTCTCACCTCTCTTCACTGCCGGCCACGGCCGCCCGCCACGCCTCAGCGCTCCGGCTCGAGAGAGATTGGAACGCCACCAGCCCAACGAACAGCGCAGCTCCGACCAGTCCGAGTTTGGGCCTGGAACGAGTGGTGAAGGACGGCGGAGCGCACGGCTTTTGGACGGCGTTGGACGGGCGATGGTTTTGGTGGGATCGTTGGAAGGTGCTGACGACTAGGAGAACCAACTGTGCAGTGCCAGCCTCCACTGATTGATGGTGTTCGATGCATGGTGGGTACATAGGCTGGGTCCATTGTGACGCGCGTTGCGATAGAGGGAAACATCTAGAATCTAAAATATTCAAAAAGCATCAAAAAGCACTTGTTTTTGTTGAATTGAATTGCTGCTTGATGGTTTTTTGCGTTTGTCGACCGGAAGCCGTCGAAAAAGGAATTCCTTTGATTGAATGGACTTGCAAAGGAAAGCAGCGGGAAGCGTGTTGTTCAGTGGTGAATGTACTGTACATCAATCTGAGGGAGGGTGTGGACCAAAGGACATAAATAATATATATATATATATAATTATAGGAACCTCAGTGGTGGTAGTGGTGCTGGTGCTGATGGCGCTGGCTAAGAACAAGACAGTGCAGAAACATAACAATGACAATAACAATAATGGTAAATCAACTCTGGACGAACCATTGCAAACCAGTTTTGAATATGTCCGCGAAGATTGTCTATTCATGTCTATTCTTCCATAGTTCTTCCATAATTGAAAAGTCAACATCCAACATTGCATTTGCTTCCAGGTTACCGAAATGTATATCCGTCCGTTCCCTTCCCTTCCCTTCCCTTCCCTTCCCTTCCCTTCCCTTCCCTTCCCTTCCCTTCCCTTCCCTTCCCTTCCCTTCCCTTCCCTTCCCTTCCCTTCCCTTCCCT